TAGTGGGTAGGTTGGGACAGCATCTGCCTTCTGACTGCGTCACTCTTCAAACCTAGTTCATGCTTGATGCTCTTGTCATTTTCATTTGGGGTCACAGGTTGTATGAAAGTATTTTGTCTGTGAGTCACAAGAGGGTGTGTGTCTGTGTGCGATGTGTTTGCCTCTTTGTCTGTCAGGTCAGATAAGGCAAAGGGCTGTAAGAAGTTGAAGACACTCCACAAATGTCAGATACTATTAAATGTTGGCACGGATGCTTGTGACGCTGTGGCTTGGCTTTTCGGGAGAACCAAGGACTTCCCGAGTTGTACAAGGCTGGCTGGGTGCTGGGGGGAATGGCGGCTGCCCCAGGTAAGGGGCCTGCCCTCTAAGGGCCTCCACACTGGTTGAGAGGATGAAAGACATCCTTGTTTGACTTAAGGGCATGGTAGGGGCATGGTAGGGGCAATGGGTGTCCCAGGAGCTGTAGGACAAGAGAGCTCAAGTGGCCAGGCTGGTCATACAAGGAATCATGGCGGGGCTGGGCCGCTAGCTGGTTCCTAAATGCTGGGTCGGTTTGCGGTGTAAGGGAAAGGGGGAGAGAGGTTTTAAGTCAGAGGACTCTCGTGATCCCTAGGACTGAGGTAGAGCCAGCCAGAAGAGGTCAGTGCAGCGGCCAGCACAGAGAGGTGCTCAGGAAGTGGCGGCTGGAGGAAGGATGAGGGGGAGGTCAGAGGAGCTTCACACTGGGGCCTCCTTTAGAGGCTGGGGGGAGACAGAGGTCACTAGCTGTGAACTGCTTAGTGTCATGCTGGTCAATGGCTCTGGACTGTGGCCCATTGACTTGCAAAATCAGGCCCGTGACCCTGCCCAGGAAGGAATGAGATGGTGCGGCACAGAGTATCCCCTCTGCCGGGGAAAAAAATGCAAAGTGCCCTCCCGGGGACCACACCTGGACCACTGTGGGGTCCTGGGTGTGCCTTTTCTCCCTATTCCACACTCTGTTTTCATCCGGCAGTTCCCGAACACGAGCAAATCCGAGTCAACTGTTCAGAGTCAGGGCTTGGTCTGCGAGCTGAGCTCTGGGCAGGAACAGATACGGGATGCCCTGCGGGCCCACACAGGGAGGCTTTTCCAGAGGCCTCTTGCATGGCTGCTCCATAAGCATGGGCTCCAGATTGCGGCAGAACTGAATCAGAGGCCTGGCTCTGCCACTTGCTGTCTGGGGCCCTCGGACAAGCGATTTAACTTCTGAGTCCCCGTTTTGTTCATCTGTCAAATGGAACTGGGAACCCTTCCCTGTAGGGATGCCGTGAGGGCCGAATGGAAGAGGTCTGTAGAGAGTGCGTTACAGAGCCAGTCGCCTGGCTAGCACCTCGTGGCCTGTCTTCCTGCTGCTGTTACGATCCCTCAGTTAACACAGCGCTCTGCTCTTCAGATATAAGGCCCTTTACTGTACTTAACTCACCTGATGCTCCCAACCACGCCACTTGGTAGGTGGAGCAGAGGTTGATCAGCTCCATTTTATGACTGGCTAACTGGAGGCTCAGAGGGATCTGGAGCCTAGAACCGGGGCCTCCTGCTTCTGTCTAGAGTGGCTTCCATGGCACTGCTCTGATGGCCTCCTCAGGTGGGAGGGTCCGGGCTCTTTGAGGAGGCTGTCGCACCCCTCAGGGGCCCTCTCCTGTGGGACTGAGCCAAGTGCAAGGCTGCAGCTGCCAGGCCCAAGACCTTCTTTCCTGAGTTCCAGATGCCACTAGGCTGGCCCCTCTCAGGGAGACTTGGCTCAGAGCTCACCTGGCATTGAAGAGCAGATCTTTACAGAGCAGCATTCTCTCCAACTGCAGACCACAGGGCAGCAGTCTGCCCTGGAAACCAGAGCTGAGTCCTTCCCCCTCCCAAATCCATCCCTGCCAAGGCCTCCTGGCCTGGTGTCCCCCACCTCCACATAGCTCCACATGCTTCTCCCTCCTCAGCTCCTTCCCAGCTCCACTCAGCCCCCCTGCTGCCCTGGCCCAGCCTCCTCTGCCAGCTGCCATGCCATGTGTTGCAAGCCCATCCTTAGCCTTGAGTGCCCGTGTCTGAGAGCCCTGTTTCCCAGAGATGCTGGGGTTGCCTGCGGGCTGGAGCGATTGCTCCCCTGCCTCCTGGATTCCCCCAGTGAGGGCCCAGCTTCCCCGGAGCAGAGGGGGCCTTGCTCATGGCGCCAGCCTGGGAAGCATAGCCATGGCCATGGAGAGGAGGCGGTGCAGGGCCTATGTCTCTCCCGGGACCCCTGTGCCCTTACTAATTCCAGTGGTGATGACTCCCGGCCAGCCCCGCACCCTGTTTCTCTCCCTAAGAGGCAACGGAGGTGAGCAGCTGGGCTTTTATAGTCTGAAGTGTGGGGGATTAGCAGCGGGACTTGCCAGGAAGGAGAGATTTGGGATGGGGCCCCATTAGAGTCCCAAACTTCCACCCCAATCTCTTTGGAATTTGCTCTTGGTGTTTAAAGTGCAAACCGACTCCTCAGCACATTTAAACTGGGCCAGGTCTTTGGCAACTGTCAAGGGGTGGAAACCAGGTAATTGTTCTGTGTTTCCCTTTAACAGCAAGGATCTGGGAAAACGGTATGTGGGGCAGGAGGACAGCGTGGGACGTTCCTCATTCGCTCCCAGGGTCTCTTTGGATGAAGGCGCCAGCTGCACTCGCAACCCAAAGCTCTGTTGGGACTTCGGAGTCAGGAGCAGCCTCACATGTCGGCAGAGAGAGCGGCTTTGTGTGCTGCGTTGCTCAAGTCCCCCTCCCCAGCCCCTGCCACCAAACCACCCTCTGTCCACTTTCCCCAGGCTGACTCTACCCTCAGCCTCATGGATGTCAGCGGGCTGAGATGCTGGCGACAATGAGACTGGGACCCTGCCCCCTGGTGCCCCTTTCTCCCCTCCCACGCCTCCTTTGAACCCTGGGCCTCAGTAGGTCCACTGTGAACCCCTCCTTAAGTCCAGAACCCTCAGAGGAGGAGGCTGAGGCCCAGCAGGGAGAAAACTCGGGTGGCGGCTGAGTCGGGACAGCACCCTGGCGGCCTAACTCTCAGTCTGTGCCCCTCTCGGGACCCAGTTGCCGTATCTTGGTTTCTCAGATTAGCAGGACGCTCTGAGCAAGAATCAGGGCCGTGGGGGAATGGGGCAGGCACCTGGGTGTTGAAGGGGGCAAGGAGGGCCATACCCACCTGTGACATGAAGGGCTTCATGGGGAAGAGGGAGCTGGGGAGGGAACGGGGATGCGATTGTGTCTGCGTGTGCGTGTGGTTTTGTGAGTATGTGTGTCTGTATGTGTGCATTAGTGTGAGTGCATGGTGTGTGTGCTGTGTTTTGCTTCTCTCTCTGCATGTGGAAAGTCTGGCTGCCTGTGGGTGCTGAATTCCGGGGGAGGCAGAGCTGGGCAGGCAGGGCCTCTACTTGGCCATTGTTTTCTTAGCCCACTTTACTTGAGCATCTTTGTGACTTTAAGTGCTTAATGGGAACAGAAGCACATTTTTGGGGAACTGCTCTAAGGTTTGACGGGTCACTGGTTTAAACTGGCCCTCCCCCAGTTAGCTTGCAAGGGAGCAGTTTCCCTGCCACTGGTTTAAAGTGTGGGTGCCGAGCAGCCAGAGGTCAGGGGGTGAACGAGGGGAGGGGTGAGATAAATGAGGGAGGACTCTTGGAGAAGCGTGTATCTGGGGACATGGGAGGTCAGATCGGAAGAGGAAAGGGAAGGCTCATTTAGAGGAGCATGGCCTCTGTCTAGACTCATTTTCCAGAGAGCATCTTGGGTTTCGCTGTCAGGAGCAGAGTCATCAGGACTGGTCTTTGCTGAAGGGAAGCAGGAGGCAGGTGTTAGACCAACATTCATGCCACACGTGGCAATTTACCGAGAACTTTTCTCATACACTCTCCTCTCAACAACCTTAGGCATAGCTATCATTCTTCTTTTTGTTTAAACTTTAATGATGATAAGAAAAGGGAAATTAGCAGATTAAATGGGGCTTCTGTAAAAGTTATGAATTTTAGTCAACAATGTGTCCCAGAAAAAGTATTAGAGGCAGGTACACATCAGCATAGTGGGAAATAGTGATAACATTGTCCCAAGAATTTGGAACACTGAGTCTAAAGAAATCAGAAACTTTTGATTCTAATACGGAATAAAGAACAATGTGAAGAATTTTAGGAAAAAATCTACTCCTAGATCATGATGTGTTTGGAAGTAATGAGCTGTGTAGTATACATCACGATGATAAATAAAAAGAAATTTCAGAAAACTTGTGATGGAAGAGAGCCTTCACTTGCCTGTGGTCTGAGTCAAGTTAAACGGCCTCTGCCCAGTTGCAGAATGGAGGTTATTTATAGGCATTGGTGACATCACGCCCCAGACCCACGAATGCCGAGATTGACCGGGGGCAGTTCTGGCCAGGTGCTCAACAAAGGCTGTCATGTGGACCCAGGTCCTGCCTCCCTGGAGACTAGAGGCTGATGTGGGCCAGAGATACTGAGTACAGACATGATTAGGGAGGTCAGAGAAAGAAGCTGATTGTGTGAAGACCGAATTGGGAGAGCAGCCAAGGAAGCCCACAGCTAGATGGGCCAGGGAAGAGAGAAAGTTTCTCTGATAAAATCAGGAAGACTTCCTGGAGGAGGGAGGCTTTCAGAAGATGCTCAGTCTCTTACCATGGAAGAGGAGAGAGGAACAGGAAGGGTCTGACTCCTTCTGCGCTGGGCCAGGCCCTTGAGGCCTATTGTTGCCATCCCACTCCTTGATGTGCTGGGACCTAGATCGAGGCCCAGGCTTTAACCTCTGTGGGCTGTAGTGTCCTCATCTGCCCAACGTGAGGTGACCCATGTGGAAGCCCCAGGCACAGGGGTAGGCCCTCAGGGAGTGCCACTTGAATCTTAATTGGACTCTTGGCCACTCCCCCATCCCCCTCAGAACGCCAACCTGCAGACAGCCATCGCGGATGCAGAGCAGCGCAGGGAAGTGGTCCTCAAGCTTCAGGACCTCAAGGCCACCCTGCAGCAGGCCAAGGAGGACCTGGCCCGGCTGCTGCGCGAGTACCAGGAGCTGATGAACGTCAAGCTGGTCCTGGGCATTGAGATCGCCACCTACCGGAGCTTCCTGGAGGGCGAGGAGTGCAGGTCAGTGGGAGTCCCTCTGGTTCCCAGGAGGCCCAGAGGCCCGGCGGTTTCCCTGCCTGAGGCTGCTGCAGGTGCCGCGTGTGCGCGGGGGCGCTGCTGGAGGTGGTGGTAGCCCTCGGCAGGCCAGGCCTCCTCCTTATGAGGACCTCACGATGCTGCCAGACCTCCAGGAGAGCTTGTGCTTTCTGTACGATAGTGACACCATCAGAACCTTCTTTCCTGTAGATTTCCACCCTTCGTGTCTCATGCTTTAGCTGTAAAACACGTGTCTGCGAAGAGGAGTCATAGGCATAAACTTTATTTCTAGCCGTTTCTTTATTGCCTTAATTGTGGGTTTCTGAAGAGTGGGTTCCTATAGGCTGGCACTGGGGTACAGGGCTCTGGCCCATACGAGTTCAAATAAAATTTATTGAATAAAGAGGCTCCTGAGGAGTGGGAGAGGATGGGTAGGCCCAGGATCATTCCTCTGCTCTGTGATTCTCTGGGAGAATGTTAGCGGAAAGGGTAATAGTTTAAGTCCAACCTTACCCCATAGAAAGAGGAACGCATGTCATGATTTTTTGAGCACCTATTTCTTATTGTCAGCATCAATTAGGAACGAGTTGAGGGACCAAGGCTTTCATTGCTGTTGACCTAAGCAAGGTGCATTTAGGGAAGGGAGGATCTGGCACAGATCGCTAACACCGGGGTCTGGTCTTCCGCCAGGATGTCTGGAGAGTGCCAGAGTTCCGTGAGCATCGGTGAGGACCGGGTTCTTTCTCCGGGAAGGGGCTGGACTTTTTGGGATAATGTTTCTCAAACGTGGGCCAGCGCCGGTGTGAGATCATTCTATCAGCAGGCTGCGTGGTGGCTGGGTAACCTGAGGCTCTCCGTCCCAGCGGGGCCAACCTGCCTCCCCTCCTTGAGGCCTGCCCTCCCCACCCTCCGCGGAGTCTCAGTGGGCGGTACCCCGGGGAAGACGGGTGGGCTCTGAGACTGTGGGCTGGAGGGGCGACGCGCCGGGCGGACCCCGCAGAGGCTCCCTGACCCTAAGTGCTCTTTGCAGAGATGGTCCACAACGCCAGCAGCAGCAGCAGCAGCAGCGGCAGCAGCGGCAGCAGCAGCGGAGCCCTGGGAGGAGGAGCCCTGGGAGGAGAAGCAGGCGGCCCCGGAGGCCTGGGCGGCAGAGGCCCGCAGCGGTGGGGCTCGGGCGGGAGCTCCACCGTGCGCGGGGTCTTCTCCAATTCCGGGGGTTCCTGCGCCGTCAGTGGGGGCGGCGGCGGCAGCAGCTCGACCCGCGTCTCCCAAAGCTCCTCCCAGAGCCAGCGGTCCCACCACAAATTCTGAAGGGGGCGCCCGAGGTGTCCCCGGATCCCCAGCCCTCTTCACCGGCCAGCACACCCCAGCTCTGCTCGCTATTCCCCATCCCCGTGGGACCCTCTCCGAACGCACCTTCTGACCTGCGCCCCGGAGCCCCACCTTCCCGGACAACTGGCATCACAGCCCAAAATTTCCTGGGAAAGATGATCCGGCTGAAAAACCATCTACTCTCACCAGGCCCGGCAGAGAGACAATGTCTAGCACGAGGGCCGAGCCACCGTCCCTGCCCCGCAGGTGTCCCCACCCCAGCCACGTTTCACTGCCTTATGGGGAAGCCCCAGCCGGCCCTGCACACACCCCACCCTTGTAGGCAGGGGCCCCTGGTCCCCACCTCCTGTTGGTGCTTGATCGGTACTTGTTCCTTCTGGGCTCCAAGAAAAGAATTCTCTGTTCTGTATCTTCAATAAACTGCATACGTTTCAGACACAGTGGTAGAATTTTCATTCTGGATTCTAAGGTAATTGGGTCTCATCTCCACTGCCAGTGGGTCACCTGCGGTCCCTTTCACACATGGAGCTCTGGCCTGAGTCTGGAAGGACACCCTCCAGAGAAAGTTCTGAGAGTCCCAGGCTGGGGGGCAGGATCTTTTCATCCAGAGGATCTTTTCATCCACCAGACTCTCTGGATGACATAGATCAGCTTCCTTAATTGATAAGATTTTGAATTCGTAAAAATTTCATTACATTTGAAAAATGTTTTAGGGTAGCTTTCTTTGCTTTTCGGTAACTCCAAATATGTCCAAAATTGTCCAGTAATTACAGCTACTCATAATCAAATGAGTTGCTGATAGTAAAATATTTTCAAGAGCAGTGATAAAAATTCAAATGTTTTATAGCAAAAAATTATATATGCCGAGGGTGTACTTTAACATGTTTGATATGATGTGGGGTGGAGCCTTCAAATATAAAGAGTTATGAGAGCCCACAAAGAACTTGGAACGGCCCTGTGACAGGTCACCCCCACCCCTAACCTAGACACAGCACGGAATCAAGGCAGATCCAGGAGCCCGTGGATAGAACACAGGTTCAGTGCAGGGCTGGGGGCCCCACTCAAACCAGGGACGTCAGGTGGGAGAAGCAAAACAAAAGGTGGATAAACCTATGTGTATGTGCATATCTTCTTTATAAAGCATGGTCCTCGTTAGCATAAAGGACTGACAGAAGATGTCAGATAAACAGAAAGAGAGGATGTGCCTACTGTCATCACAGAAACTCTTAGCTAAGTACACACACAGCTAAGAGTTGTGTGTAAGAGAGCCCAGTGCTTATCGGGCTAGAAAAACACAACAGACAACTGCAGCTTCGACAGAGAATGTTCTAGCTCTAGAGTGAAAAGCTGACCTGGAGTTCAGAGAGAGGGAAGCCTGGGGACTCTCCCATGGCAGCCTGCACTCTGAGCGCTGCAGCCTCACCTCTCAGAAGCAAACCCACTGTTGGCTGCCACCTCCATGCCCCCACCCACCAGCCCCCCAGCGCTGAATGCAGAGGGAGAGAATCACCTTTATGCTAATAACAGAAGAGATGCTTTTGACTTGTTTGAAACTTATCAAGAAATTGCCATGTTCCTTTAAGTAGGTGATTAAAGAAAAGCTTTTCTGTATCTTTTGTATAACGTATCACAGGGCCATATTTCTTTGCTCTCAATGGGTTTCTGATTTGTTAAGGGAAGCTGGATAGAAAATACAATCTGGTTAAAGAAATTTGTGGCTACTGTGCAGCAACATAATAATCGCTAAAATGAGGCACTCTTGTGAGCTGCCTGGCACTCTACCAGCAGCTTCTTATGAATTAACTCACTGAATCTTAACAGAGGTAGACAGTGTTCTTACCTCCATTTTACAAATGAGGAAACTGAGGCACAGAGAGATTTATGAGCTTATTATCTAGGGCCATACGACTAGTAGGGGTGGAGCCAGGAGTCAAACTCCAGCAACCTAACCCCAAGGCTTCCCGAAACTACCCCGTGAAGCAGAGAGCCATCCAGCACAGCGGAAAGTTCTCAGGCTTCAGAATCAGGCTTCCTGGGGTGATCTGGGTCCACCACTTTGTGCAACTGGCAAGCTGCCCGAACCCCCCACCCCTCCTCCCCAGCTGAATCTCCTCATTAATATGTGGTTGTGCAGGTTGGATGATGTCATCTCTTTAACTCCCGGCACATTGTAAGAGCTCAAAAAAGGGTCATTACTATTTATGGCCATTTCAGGAACCCAGCTTTTCCTTAAATGGAGGGAATGATGGTGAATCATTAATTCCTTATGTTTGTTTAGCACTCTAATTTCTCCCACCACGGGCAAGATGAGACCTGATCTGGGGCTTTTCTACAGGTTTCATATTCTCCCCAGGGATCTGGTGTTCTGGTCCCTGCCCCACCAGTACCTAGCCCTGGAACCTTGAGTCTGTTTCGTCTCCTTCTTTGATCCAGTATAGAGAAGCATCCTCTGCCCAGACAACCCCAGTTCCCTGTCGGGGCCTCGCGGTTTCTCTTGGAATTCAATCCGAGTCTAACCCGTAGCCTTGTTTTCCTTTGGGCCCACACCTGTGCAGCTGCTCCCTTTGCTTGAGAGATGAGAGAGAGAGCTGCCAGCTTTATAAATGGGTGTATAAATAGTAATAATGGCCTCCGGCATGCTGTATGGAAGAGCTTAATATGCCTGGAACAATATCACCTCTGGACTGTGGCCATGAGAGTGTGCAGGGCCACTCCGAGACCTTGCCAGGGCTTCTGGCCCAAGAGCACCTGTTAGGTTTGATGAGAAAGAGAGAGAGAGAGAGAGGGAGAGAGACAAGGAGAGAGCACGCTAGATCCTTAGTTTCCAGAGTTGCCCTGCGATTCTAGTTAAAAGGATATCAGAGGTGGGGTCCTGGCCGGTTTGGGGCCTGTGGAGGAGCTTGAAGGCTTAGTTGTTGCCCCACACACCCACCCTAACCTAGAAATCAGGAGAAGGGTTCACCAGGGGCATTCCTGTGTGCCCAGCACCCCTTCCCACCTCGTAGGCAGGGCCTGTTGGAGCTGAGAGGTGGGGCTCCCGTCTGCCCATCTCTCCCAGGCTGCGGGAGCGCAGGGGCTGTCGGGAGTTCTCATAGGCTCCCGGTTCTTTCTTGGATTGGGAGGGAGGATACCCAAGCTCTAGTTCTAGCTGCACCACCAACTTTCCCCTGCAACCTGGACCAAGTCCTTTCCTCTCTTTGTACCTATTTCCTTCTCGTAAAATGAAGGCGCTAGGTGATGGTCTCTGTCACGTGTCCAGGTCTGCCACTCTTATGCAGGATGAAGAGTGGTCTGAGGGTGTGGGAAGCCAAGGCTAGGAGCTTCGATTCAGTCCCAGGACTCTGCTTTCTCTGATCCCTGTCGCTTCATTGCCTTCATCTGCTGCCGAGGGGTCCAAAAGCTCCTGTTTCAAGGTGAAAGGCCTCCATACCTACATTAGGGCTGTAGCTCTCCCCTCCTTCCCGGGTGGAGGCTGGTGAGTGAAATTCTCCGTCCCTCCCTTTCTCTGCCCAGGGGACCCTGTCTCTGTCCCCACTCCCCTGCCAACTTCTGCACTGCCCTGTGATATGCACCTCCACACATGGGGGATGCAGGGAGCAATGGGGAGGCCCTGCCAGTCACACCGGCAACTCCT